ATAAGGAGATCTTTTCTCATGTTTTGTCAAGTTGATTAGTCGTGTTAACGAGTTCTTCCTGATGCGTTGTGAGTTCATCATCTCAAACGAAATAGGGTAAGCACAACTTATGTACTATTCATAGCCTAAGGTCCATTTAATGAGGCATCTAATGACGTGGCTGGAGATCATATTCTACCTACTCAGTTAGTTTGCCTCTTTTTACTGATTTACTGGTAGTCTCGAAAACTTACTCAACAAAGAAAAAAAATGTCTGGAAGAGGCAGATTGTCCGACTCATTCAGCCAAATCAACCGCTCAAAACCTCAGAGAAGGAAGAGATGACCATTCTAGAGGGTGGTCTTCAGAAAGCATCCCGGGCAACTTATTACCTTCTTGAGCATGTAGTGCAAAATGTACAGATTTGTTAACTCTCTACATCCGGAATGACAGACTACTAACGTGCATATAAACGATGAATAAATAAAAATTCCCACAAAAGGAAATATAACCAGGAGCAAAAGTACACTTATCGAGAAAAATAGATAATAAAATATATTTAGTGACTAATAGGCAAGCAAATCGAAAGGAAGACTGCCCAGATGGCTAATCGTCAACCATACAGACCGATGAATGGACGAGGTGACAGACAGACAAGCATTCAAGGGAGGAGAAAGAAGGTCGCCAAGAGTGTGGCTATCGTGACGAACAAGAAGGAGGCTTTGGAAGAGAAAAAGGTGATTTTATAAGTGAATCATTGGGGGGCATTCTCCTTAATTATTATTCCATATTGAAAGCCAACAGTATATTATTGTTTAGGACACGTAACCAGTCAAATCACTAACCGGCTTCACCACAACTGGTCTTATCAGTACCCTCAACGGGTCACAGGGCAGGTGTGAGTATCAAGAAAAGCCAGGCTTCTCCCAATTCACATTCTAGGTTGGGATTGGTAGTGAAGCAAAGTTGTAATTGCTACAGCAATCGACAAAAAATGCGTTTTATAAATAGATTTTCGAGGCTACCGGTAGAGCAAATATGGAAGGATTTGCAGGCACAAATCGACAGTCACATCTCCTTCTTCGGTCTCTGTTAAGACCGATTTGCCAACCTTTTTAGACGATATGCCTCGCAGCAAATAAAGTAGTGAAGACGTAAACATGATGAGACTGTCGTTGGGGCATTTTGTTTTGGCACTTTCATTGTGGAAACGTACTTTTTCCTTTCTCAAGTTTCCGATCGACAGGTTGTAGGCTTGGAGTAGTGACTCACGGTGAATGTTCATAGTGAATGAGTTTAAAGATGAGCAAAAAATGTCTGATCAGAGTCCTCGTCAGCCAAGGTCGTGAGGGTGATGAAGGCTGTGCTAGAAGAACCTTTCCAGAATCCAATGAAAAGACGTCGCATAATTTCTAAGCCTACTCAATATGCATACAAGAAATGCGCTTGACGATTAGGTGAAATGCAATGGAAACGTAGAGCAAACTGCCGATTTGTGCAAGCAAGTCCTCTCAACCCGATTCATTTGTGCTCAACCTTCGACTGTCCCGGT